CCAGCCTGGGCTACCAAGTGAGTTCCAGGAAAGGTGCAAAGCTACACAGAGAAACCCTGTCTCAAAAAAAAAAAAAAAAAAAAAAAAAAAAAAAAAAGGGTGTTTTTGAAAAACAAATTGCAAACTATGGGCTGGGGATATATCAGGCTAGTATGCAGGAGAGTCAGAGGCTATATTTTCAATCCCTATCACTGCTGGGAAAGGGGAAAAACCCAAAAGAATATGAAATATGACTGAGAATACATGTGGATCTCAAAGCCTAAATATTTACTACCTGACCTTATACAGAAAGCTTACCAAACTTTATTTTGTGGTACCAAGACACTGGGAAGTAGAGACCACAGGACATTACTCAGAAATGCTCCTTTCTCATCAGATCAACTGGGGAAAAAAATTGCTATTGAATCAGCTCAAAATGTCTTGAACAAAACATTTTACACTTGCCTGATTAGTCCTTGAGGAAACATTTCAGAAAGCTCTACTTCCTCCTTAAGATTCAACAGTTTCAGGGAAGCATTAGAGTTAGTTCGTAATAAATACAAAAGAATGGATATCTTACCTGGGGCATTTGTTATAGCCAAAGGCAGGCCTGGAAGCTGGTGCACCTGGATCCCTGAAGTACCCAATGCACTGAGGTTAATGGTCTGGAGGCCTGGCATGGAGGAAAGTTGAGCAGCATTCACAGTGACTGTGCCAGCAGGAATGGAGGAAGCTGAGGCAATGGGTGTTAGGGTGGTATTGCTGCTGCTGGTCTGCCCCAGTGAAACGCCCTGCATCGGGGCCAAGGTGATTGTCTGGGCTTGTGGGTTCTGAACTTGAAGATTCTGCAGCTGAAGGGTCTGCCAGCTGACCTGTCCATTGGGTCCCACTGTTGGTGTCCGAATGATGATGGGACCAGAGTTTTGGACAGCCTGAAGCTGGAGGTTCTGAAGGGTTTCCTGGGAAATAGCTTGAGTTGTGAAGGTCTGCCCTGACAATGGTGCTGCTTGGAGGGCCTGAAGAGCTTGTCCCCCTTGAACTAGCTGAGGCTGAATAAGAATTTGTTGTTGCTGTGTCTGCTGACTCTGCTCTCCCTCTTTTTGCTGACTTCCTTGCAGGGATCCTCCTGATGTCTGGTTCTGCTGGATGTTGAGAGAATCAGACCCTTGTAGCCCACCAACCCTCTGGGGTGTCTGGCCTTGAGAACTGGTCCCTGATGATCCGCTGGTGGTAAAGTTCATAATTCCCATGTTGCTGGTGGTAGTAGTTGTTGAGTAGCTATTGGCATTGGTGAAAAAGGAGCTGGAACTAGCTTGTGATGACACCAAGCTGGCAGAACTGATGGCAGTCCCTGAGGTGACAGGCTGTGAGCCGCTCTCCTGGGATCCAGAACTGCTGATCGTGACTGCCTGAGAGCTGGGAGTCAAGGTAGCTGCAGAAACGCTGTTGACAGGTAGCAAGGTGATGTTCCCATTCAGGGCCACTGGTACATTGGTCACATACTGAGTCTGTCCTGAGAGCACATTATTAGCAAGGCCTTGGAGGGGGACAGCCTGCTGGAGTAGATTTGGCATAGCAGCAATTATGTTGCCCCCACTTCCTCTGTTTGTGATGATCTGTTGGTTTGCACCCGGTATGATCTGTATTTGACCAGAACCATCCTGCTGCACTTGGGCCCCAGTGGCAGCAAACTGCAGCTGCTGCCCATCAACAGTCTGGAACTGTGGGATTACTTGATACTGAATGTTAGGCATTACTCCAGGTAGACCTGTCAGAACTTGCTGGTTTTGTAAGTTGGGGGTAGCAGCCACAACATACTGCCCACCAGAGACTGTGCGATTCTTGGAAGACTCACTGCCATTGCTGCCATTGGTACTGTTGCCACTCTGTTCCTTTGAGGTAGGGGTAGCCCCAGAGGAGGAAGAGATGATCTGCCAGCCATTGGCACCCTGTGAAAGTTGTGTGGCTGTGAGGTCAAGTTCACCTGTGCCCCCTGACTGACTCGGACCCTGGGAGTTGTTGCTGTTCTCATTGGGTGACTCAATTCTGCTGCAGGTTGCTGCCAGCAGAGCCAAAGGAGATGGCTGGGATTCCTGGCCAGAAGAGAGGAAAGGAGTTAGTGGCACCCAACAGCCGGCCTAGGGGGCAGTATTCAACAGACAGACAGCAACAAGGCAGGCGTATGAAGAGCAAAATCCAGAAACAAAATGCTGACTTTGTGTACTGTTCCAACTTTCATGTTTGGGGACCCTCTAGATCACCTATCTGTCTGTGTGTACTTCTCTACGGTATTTTCCCCCAGTATATTGGATTAAGGAATTTTCCCAGGATATTTACACCCTCTCAACACCTTCCCCATCTTTGATTGATCACTCACCTGCCCTCCTCCGCCACCACTGCTGCTGCTACTGCCTGTGCTGCTGCTTCGAGTCTGAGAAAAGGCCGCACCACCACCATTACCGTTACCCCCATTATTGCCACCAACACCTTTTTCAATCTTCACCACGGCTGTAACTTCATCCATGGAGTGATCTTGGTCTAAAAATAATTATAAAACAATAATTTAAGCTGGGAGAAAAAAACAACACCTCCCTAAGGTTTAAAATAAGGCTTTGGCAAGCAGCAATGACTAACAGAATGGTTAAAAGCAGATTACAGAAAATAGGGCCAGATATGGTGGTAGGCCTGAAATCCCAGAATTGGGAAGTGGAGATTATCACACGCAAAAGTTCAAAGTAATTTTCAGCTACATATTGGGATGCCAGCGCCCTAGGCATGCAGGAGAGGCACATGGCTCAATGGTGTCCAAGATGGGTCACTATTTTCCCATGCACAAAATTAAAGTCAGAAATCACTCAAAAAGGGCTTCGGGAGCGGGGCATGGTGACTCACACTGGTAATCCCAGCACTCAAAAGGATGAGGTAGGTGGTTGACCAGTTCTAGGTTTGTCTAGGCTACAAAGCGAGACCTGGTCTTAAACAAGATTAATAGCACTTCTGAGAAAGGGAATTGGAGGGCAGTGTCTCAGGAATAATAATAAAAAGTGGCCCTTAGTGATGGCACACTCTGTAATCCCATCACTCAGGAAGAAGAGGCAGGAGGATAGCTGAAAGTTTGAGGCAAGTCTGGTCTTCATAGGAACTTCCAAGCCAACGAGTACCACAGACCCTGTCTCTAAAGGGGAAAAAAAAGCATTCTGGGAGGAAGAGGAGACCCAACATGTGGGTGGATGGAAAATGTGCTAAAATTAGGATTAAGAGAGATGGGGTTAAGAGCAAGTGTAAAAAAATAACAAAACAGGGAGGGAGAGGCAAGGAGTACCCCGTCAGTGCCGACGGGGAGACATCTGAGCACACAGGTAAGGGTCTACAGTGGTCTAGGCTCAGCACGCAGGTCTGGGGCTGGGAGGGCGGGCCCAGGAGGAAGGGGCGGTATCGGGGTGAGGGGCGTGGAAAGGGCGGGTCAGATGGGGGAAGGGAAGCGTACGGGGGTGCGGGGGAGGGCCCGGGGCAGGCGGCGACCGGAGGGCGGACCGGAGAGGCGGTTGGCCCAGGCGGGGCCTGCACTGG